AACATAAAACGAACTGGAAATATGACCAATTATTAATTAAAGTGTCCTCTTTTTAATGCATCAAGCCGCTTTGAAGAATCCCTTTTAGTTTTAGAGAAAACAATATTTGAGGTTTTGATAAAATTTTCGATGTTGCAATTTTCATCGATAACTTTCAAAATTCGCTATAAAATTAATTTCTTTGGTTCCATCACTAATCTTGACTTTTGCATTTCTAAACTTGACGAATCCAAAGAGAAAACAAATTTGCAATTAGTTAATAACAAGCCTTTTTCAACTAATTATAAAAGTTAAAAGTTTTGTCTTTATCAATTTTGACAGTTGTGGAAGCTTTTGGAAATGTTAAAACCATCTTCATCGTTTTTCTTGGCACATCCGTAATCAAAACATATTTTTGTGAATGTTAAAAGCCGTACAACTCTATCAATTTAATCTCTCATCATCAACTTGTTTTAGAGTCATGTAGATTTGTTTTATATTTATTTATACAGCAAATATAATAACTTTTTATTGACAAAATGATCTTCACATGAAGCGTTGAAAAAAGGTAAGAAAATAAAGCAAATTTCTCCTAAAATTGATTATAAATTAATTATTTTATATACGAAATAATGAGGGGTATGCAACCCATTCTACACTTGTCATATTATTTTATTTTGTTAATTGCAGTATATTAATGAGTATTCATAAATTAAAAAACAAAAAAAAATAATTTAAATTTGCAATAAAAGCTTTTAACTAGGTTTAGTTATTTATTCGTTTATTTAATTTAAAGATTTGTGTCATAACAACAAATAAAGTTGGTAGTTTTTCGTTTTGTCAATATTGGTATTCCTTATTCCGAAGTAAATAAGTATAAATGACGTTTGTGTAAAAAATAATATGAGAATATTCACTATTTAAAACGGGTTATTATTAATTTTTTTTTTAATTAGTTATGTCCCTGGTGGCTTCTTTCGTTTCAAGTGTTTCAACCGCCCGATTCAGACTTAAACGTAAGTTAATTTTCCCCAATTTTTTTAATTCCTTTACATAACCTCAAAATTTTATTAAAAAAACTCTTATAAAAAGACTTACGTCTCATTGCGTAATGTAATTAAAGCTAGTTAATCGATGAAAGGAGAATTCTCCTTTTCCAGATGACTGAGCTTACAAACCAACTGAAAACGCTGTTAAACGACCGGAAAATCGCCCAAGTTTCCAATCTAATACTCAACGATGAAACCATGAAGAATATAATTGAAAATCCTTGGGATATCGTCCCAATTATCACGGAACATCTCAACGGAAAAGTTGAACAATCAGAACCTGATTTTTTCCTTTCCTGTCAATCTCTGCTTATCCAAATTTGTGAAAAACTCCAACCTGATGACGCCTTATTAGTATTAATCAAAGAAATTGAAACAATCCCACAAGATTCAACTTTGGTAATCTTATTAGTACCCCTATTAAAAGCTTTGTTGGGGGTTTTATCAACGAAAAGGATAAATTATTTAGCATGGTGCTTAAACGCGATCCAAGTTTACATCGATGAGCTCCCAACTCCAGATAATTTAAATTTAGAAGAGGAAGAAAAGTTAATGATGGATGCGGATCCAACGGTTGCAAGAATTTCGAATTTATATCAAGATGTATTCTCATTTTACGAAGTTGTGCATGAAAAAGTGATGGATGTTAATTCGGGGGATCTTAAAGAGATCTTATTGAGGAATTATCTCCAATTATTAGGAAAACCGTTGGTTTTTTTGGATATGCACTTAGAAAATAAACCAAAAAGTAAAGCTAGAATGGTAGCTGAAAGGATTGTCAATAAAATACTTGAAATTGATTCTAATATTTTTGGTTTTTTTAAAAATGATTTTATTAAAAATCACGAAGACGTTCGGATAAGAATATTATCGTTATCGACGTTGTTTTATTTATGCCTGGGTGAAGATTATGGCTGTAATCGAATTCCTTGTGTTTATGATAACGTTTATATCTTCCAAAACAGTTTAAGATTTATTGTAAAACTCTTTGAGTATGATAACCAATTTATTATTGAAAAAGGATTAAAACTCTCCCAAAATGTATTATTAAAAACGAAAAATTTAACATTTAATTATCACCTTTTAGACTCGATTTATCATTGCAAATTTTGCCAAAATTTATCAACAATCATCATTTATAACCCTTTAGAAATTTACCGAAAAACGGGTTTAGAAATTTTTAAAAATTATCTTTATCGATTTGATGATCGCGGAAGATACCTCTTAATTTCGAACATAAAACGAACGATTAATAACACCTCTTTAAACGCGTACATAACAACTCAATACAAAGAGATGCTCGTTGAACAATTAGATAAAAAATCGATTATTTCCGAGTATTTCAAAGACACCAAATTGCGCTCGTTATTGAGAGGATTTTGTCGGCTTGAACACGGAATTGAAACCGATTTGATTAAAGAGGCTGACCAAATTATCGCCGCGTTAAATTTGCTTCGTTATCTTGCGTTGAGAGATAAAGAGAATGTAACGAATTTTTGGGGTTATTGCATAAAGGAGATTGAAAATAACTTTTTGGTACCTTTACAAACGGCCCTTTCGATCTCTCGAGCTCACTACGAATTAAAATTGAAAGAAATTACGTCGGAGAATGCGCACGGTGATAAATTAAGCAACGACAGCGAAGTTTGTGTCAGCATTGGAGGGAAAAATCTACCCGAATTAACGTCCGGCGAAAAAGTTAAAGTTATTAATTCGTCGTTAACCGCATTCGATGTCATCGAAAGTTTGTTGTGTAGAGTTAATGAGTGTTTGGGACTTTAATTTTTTTTGTATTGAAAGGAGGAAATTAATTTTTTTATGGAATAAAATTATTGTGTTTATCTAAAGGTTTAACATTTAATTATCACCTTTTAGACTCGATATATCATTGCAAATTTTACCAAAATTTATCAACAATCATCATTTATAACCAGAGCTGTTACAAGTGCAACGAAAAAGTACTCTCAGTAACCAGTACAAGTAGCGCTATAAATTATTTTTACTCCAAGTAATAAGTAACAAGTATTTTTAAAAAGTACTTAGAGTAATAAGTAATTTTACTTGAAACTAAAATTTCAAGTACCCAATAGAAAGTATTTATATCCCTTGAATGTACAGGGTGTCCAAATTTCGATGGGTTTGCAGGGTATCTCAGTTATATATACAGTTATACAATTCAAAATTTACGATTTTCAGACACCTTCTGTATCTCGGCTATCAGTAAACGTAAAAACGGGTTCTAATAGATTTTTTCACGTAGAATCCAATGGTGCACGTCGAATTTTTCTAGTCATCACGGTTTTTGAGTTATAAAGAGCTGAGTATTTTAGAAATTGAGTATTCAGTATTTGAGTTGTGTTTATAACTCAAAAACCGTGATGACTAGAAAAATTCTACATGCACCATTGGATTCCACGTGAAACAATCTATTAGAACCCGTTTTTACTTTCTATATAGGATAGCCGAGATACAGGAGGTATCTGAAAATCGTAAATTTTAAACACTCCCTGTATATCAAAAACGAAGAGGGTTATGAAAATTTGGTTTGTGCCATTGTAAGTTTCACAAAAAAGTAGCTCAGGTTCGCAAAAGCCGCAACTTTCTATCTTTCATAATAACTGAGATACCCTGCAAACCCATCGAAATTTGGACACCCTGTACATATATCTTGTATTTTTAAATAATTCTCCTGTACTGAGTAATCATACGCGGTAGAACGGTGTTATTGAAACTTATCATTTTCCATAACTTTCTCCACATATTTCGATTTTTATAAGATTTTGCAAAATTTTCCAAATATATCTAGAGATTTTGCAACAATTTCCTGAAATGCTCAAAGACATACTGTTATTTCTGAGTGAATCGAAAGCTTTTAAAGGATTTTTACAGAAATTGTACGAATTTCCAAGAATATCCAAGAACAAAGGATATTCATTAATAATATCTAGGATTTTAACGATTCTCAAAGATTCATATAAGCATTTCCAAGTACTCCCATAAGATTTTCAAAGATACCATCCGAATTTCTCAGGATTTTTTAGGAATCTAACGAGTTTCCAGAGATTTCTATACATATTCAGGTTTTCTAAAAGGTTTCGTGAAAATTTCCAAATACATCCAACGATTTTGTAGCAATTTCTTAAAATTTTCAAAGATAACCAGATATTTCTAAAGATTTAAAGGAATATCCACAAATTTACGAATTTCTTAGGATTATTGAATGTATACAAGGTTTTTGAATGATTTTTTAGAAAAATTAGAAGGATTTCCAAGGATATCCAATGATTATTACGAATATCCAGGACTTTTAATTCTTCCCAGACACTTCTCTATGCATTTCTCAGTATTTCTAGGAGATTTCCAAAAGATTTCAACGGATTTTCAAATATACCATACAAATTTCACAGAATACCTAAGGTTATTTAGGATTTTGCAGAGATTTCTACAGAATTTTAAGTTTTTAGAAGATTTTATAGGAGTTTCCAAACATATCTAGGTATTCTGAATCGATTTCCAAAAATTTGTATATACAACTAGACAATTCTAAAAATCTTAAAGAATTTAGACACATTTTTAAACATATCCATCGATTTTTACGGATATCTTAGGATTTTTCAGTGTATCCAAGGTTTTTGAATGAGTTTTTAAAAGAATTAGAAGGATTTCCAAGGATTATTACGAATGTCCAGAACATTTAATTCCTCCCAGACATTTATGTAAGCATTTCTTAGTATTTCCAGGAGATTTCCAAAAGATATCAACGGATTTTCAAGTATACCATAAAAATTTCTCAGAATACCTAAGATTGTCTAGAATTTTGCAGTGATTTCTACAGAATTTCAAGTTTTTAGAAGGTTTTATAGGAATTTCCAAACATATCTAGGGATTTTGAAACGATTTCCAAAAGTTTTTACATACTACTACGTATTTCTAAAAATTTTAAGGAATTTAGACACATTTTCAAAGCTATCCATCGATTTTTACGGATATCTTAGGATTTTTGACTATATCCAAGGTTTTGAATGATTTTTTAGAAAGATTTGAAGGATTTCCAAGGATATCCATTGATTATTACGAATATCCAGGACTTTTAATTCTTCCCAGACACTTATGTAAGCATTTCTTAGTATTTCCAGGAGTTTTCCAAAAGATTTCAACGGATTTTCAAGTATATCATAAACACTTCTCAAAATACCTAAGGTTATCTAGGATTTTGCAGAGATTTCTACAGAATTTCAAGTTTTTAGAAGATTTTATAGGAATTTCCAATCATATCTAGGAATTTTGAAACGCTTTCCAAACATTTTTATGTACTACTACGTATTTCTAAAAATTTTAAGGAATTTAGACACATTTTCTAAGCTATTCATCGATTTTTACGGATATCTTAGGATTTTTGAGTATATCCAAGGTTTTTTAATGATTTTTTAGAAAAATTAGAAGGATTTCCAAGGATATCCAATGATTATTACGAATATCCAGGACTTTTATTTCTTCCCAGACACTTATGTATGCATTTCTTAGTATTTCCAAGAGATTTCCAAAAGATTTCAACGGATTTTCAAGAATAACATAAAAATATCTCAGAATACCGAAGGTTATCTAGCATTTTGCAGAGATTTCTACAGAATTTTAAGTTTTTAGAAGATTTTATAGGAATTTTCAAACATATCTAGGGATTTTGAAACGATTTCCAAAATTTTTTATATGCTACTACGTATTTCTAAAAATTTTAAAGAATTTAGATACATTTTCAAAGCTATCCATCGATTTTTACGAATATCTTAGGATTTTTGAGTATATCCAAGGTTTTTGAATGATTTTTTAGAAAAATTAGAAGGATATCCATTGATTATTACGAATATCTAAGACTTTTAATTCTTCCCAGACACTTATGTAAGCATTTCTTAGAATTTCCAGGAGATTTCCAAAAGATTTCAACGAATTTTCAAGTGTACCATAAAAACTTCTCAAAATACCTAAGGTTATCTAGGATTTTGCAGAGATTTCTACAGAATTTCAAGTTTTTAAAAGAATTATAGGAATTTTGAAACGATTTCCAAAATTTTTTTTATACTACTACTTATTTCTAAAAATTCTAAGGAATTTAGACACATTTTCAAAGCTATCCATCGATTTTTACGGATATCTTAGGATTTTTGAGTATGTCCAAGGTTTTTGAATGATTTAAAAAAAAAATTTTAAGTATTTCCAAGGATATCCAATGATTATTACGAATATCCAGGACTTTTAATTCTTCCCAGACACTTATGTATGCATTTCTTAGTATTTCCAGGAGATTTCCAAAAGATTTCAACGGATTTTCAAGTATACCATAAAAATATCTCAGAATACCTAAGGTTATCTAGGATTTTGCAGAGATTTCTACAGAATTTCAAGTTTTTAGAAGATTTTATAGGAATTTCCAAACATATCTAGAAATTTTGAAACGATTTCCAAAAATTTTTGTATACTACTACGTATTTCTAAAAATTTTAAGCAATTTAGACACATTTTTATAGATATCCATCGATCTTTACGGATATCTTAGAATTTTTTAGTTTTTTAGAATATGATTTTAAAAAAATTGGAAGGATTTCTAAAGATATCTAGGGGTTATTACGAATGCTCACGATTTAGTTATTCCGAAAAATTTATGTAGGCGTTTTTCAGTATTTCCAGAAGATTTCAACTGATTTTTTTAACCATGAAGATTTCATATAATATAACCATGATATTCCTAAGATTATCTAGGATTTTGAAAAAACCTTAAAAAGACATTATTTTTCTTACTATTGAAAGTACTGGAAGTAGATAAACTACTGGGAGTAAACAAATAGTTCTTCAAGTACTACCTATGTCAAACAAGTAACAATTATCCAGTACATTTTAAGCTAAATACTGAAAGTACAAGTAGTAAGAACCTACATTTCGAAAGTACTGGCAATAAACTACTTAAAGTAAAAAAGTACTGACTACTTTACTTGCAGCACATTTTTACTGCAAGTAAGTAGCTCAACACTGTTTATAACCCTTTGGAAATTTACCGAAAAACGGACTTAGAACTTTTAAAAAATTATCTTTATCAATTTGATGATCGCGGAAGATACCTCTTAATTTCGAACATAAAACAAACGATTAATAACGCCTCTTTAAACGCGTACATAACAACTCAATACAAACAGATGCTTGTTGAACATTTACAATTAGATAAAAAATCGATTATTTCCGAGTACTTTAAAGACACCAAATTGCTGCCAAAATTAGTGTTTGGGACTTTATTTATTTATTTTTTTTTTAATTATATTTTGTATTGAAAGAAATCAAATTTTTTATGGAATAAAATTATTGTGTTTATCTAAATAATTAATTTATTTTGTTCTGATTTTCTTAGATACTTGTGTAGTATGGTTAATGAGTAGGAATAATTCGACGAATCAACAACAATCGGATACGCAAAATGAAAAGTACGAAGAAAATATTCGAAATAAAATTCTTCAAGCTTCACTTAAATTCGTTCCAAGTAAAGGTTGGTCTAAGGATGCCATAGCGTGTGGAGCTGAAGCTGTGGGGTATCCCGGAGTTACTCATGGATTGTTTACTAAGGGTGGTTCAGATTTGGTTAATTATTTTCAAAAAGTTTCAAACGAAGAATTAGTTCAATATATGAAAAATAAGGTATGTTTATTCAATGATTTTTATTAATTATTTGTGTTTTGTGGGAAATTATAATTATAGAGATTATAGATGGGCCGAATTTTTGTTTTAAATACAAAAAAAATTGGGGGAACGAAAAATCAGCAATTATAAGCCTATACAGGTGTTTCTAAATTGATGCGAAAGATTTCAAGGAGTGATTTTTCAAAAAATGTTAAGGGGTGTCTTTCCTATAAGTTTTTGTTCAAAATCCCTTCTCCTCCAAGTTATAGCCCTCTAAAGTTAAGGAAAAAAATCTGCAATCTCTTGACATTTTACAACTAACAAATAGTTGGTTTGATCACAAAAAATAAAATAATGCTGTCAATTTGACATAATTTCATTTTTTGACTAATAAATCTAATAATAATCAATCTCTGAATTAATTCACTTGAGTCTGTGTATTATTTTATTTTTTTGTGATCAAACTAACAATTTTAGTAATAATAATAAACTTCAGATTAAGTATGATGAAAAATTATTTATTCAATTGTATTTGATTAAAACTATGCTATTATAAAACTACGTTGTTCAAATAAAACTATGAAAACTATTAGAACAGAAATGTATAGTAAAATTGTAAAGTAAAAACACATTAAAAGTTGACAGCACTAGCAACTCAACATGACGACCAGTTATAAAAGGAACAAATAAACAGGTTATACATCTGAAGACATAAATTTTATAAAGTATCTGTTGTTATTAAAATCTGTAATTCCGTTAAGAATCTGAAACTCTTCAATAAGGTCTAGCTCCCTAGATTTGTTTATTCTTTCTGTTAGGTGTATGTTATTAATGCTAGAATTGTGTTTTTCAGTTTTTAAATGTTTACAAAATGTGGCCGAGTTCTTAGATAAATTTAATGTTGTTTGGCTCTAGTTTTTAAATTACGCCCTGTTAGTCCTATATAGAATTTAGTACAATCTTCACAGGTAATTTTATAGAGTCCACTTAACTCTAGATTGTCGAATTTGTGGTTGGTGTTAACTAACTGCTGACCTAATTTACTATTAGATGTGAAGGCTAAGTTAATGTTTATTTTGTTTAAGTTTCTTTTTAAATCTATTAGGGAGGGGTGAAAAGGTAAAGTAAAGAAACAATTTTGACTTCTGTAATGAGGGTAAATGATCTATTAACTTGTCTGTTGTAGACATTAAAATATTTATTTTGCAACTTTTCGAATTTTCTTTAGTTCTAATATGTAGTCATTGGTATTTAATGGGATATTTATTAATCTATTAAAAAGAAATGTAAAGGATGCAAACTTGTGTTAAGTACTACTGCGTGACAGTTTAGGAATAATGGAGTCAGTACAGTTTCTGAAGATGTTAAACTCAAGCTTATTAGTTGGGTTGTTTTTTCTTATCTCTAAATCCAAGAAATTAATTTTCAAATTAGATTCGAGTTCAGTGGTGAAGTTTTAAGCGCATAAATTGTTAATTAGGTTACTAAGCGCGTGAAATTTTGCTCTGTTAGCTTCATAAACAATTAGGATGTCATCAATATATCTACAGTAGAACTTAATGTCTTTATTAAACAAATCGTATTTACCAGTGAAGATTTTGGTATCATAATGGTTCACTTAAATATCAGCCAAAATACCAGAACCCATCGGGAAATCGTTATTTATCTAAAAATACCCAATTCCATACCACAGACTGATTACCTGTCAACGATTGGTATATTACCAGCTCGTAAAATTTTATAACAAACTTATAGATACAACTACATCAATGCTCCATTACAAAAAGAGATTAAGGGAACACTTTGGTGAAAACCCATACTACAGTATCAGGGAGTTCTTGTCATGTATTCTGTATTATTATATTACTGTATCTTACGACCTCTAACTTTTGAGTTTTTTGGAAATAAATTATCATTTTCTATTCCTTTTCGTCTTCATCATCGTCTACGTTCAAAAAGTCATTGAAGTCTAAGTGGAATTAAGGATTATTTAGGATTTATGCACGTTCAGAACAAATTAATTTTCCAGTTTTAAAATTTCATAAACCAATTTTTTTTCATTCTTTTCAGTCAATAAATCCATTAAAAGAAACGTCTCCAGCCGAATTCGTTGAAGATGCCGTTAAAATTCGATTAGAAATGATCATACCATATTTGTCAAAATGGCCCCAAGCCATTGCAATTATGTCTCTTCCACCAAACGTGCCTACAGCTTTAGCATCTCAATTAACAATGGTCGACGATATTTGTTATTACGCGGGGGATCGTTCCGTCGATGTAATTGACATTAAAATGTTTTATTTTCTTACTTACATTTTTTAATTATAGTTTAGTTGGTATGCAAGAAGAGTCGCATTAGCCGCAATTTACAAAGCAACGGAGTTGTACTTAATTCAAGATAAATCCCAGGAACACGTTGAAACTTGGAAGTTTTTAAATAATCGGTTAAGCGAAGCAATACAAATACAGAATTTGTTGATTAATTCTGATGGGCAAACGGGTCGTGGTTCTGATACTTTAATGTCTGCTTTTGTTACGGTAATTAATAAAAAAATTAATTAAATAACTTAATAGAATTTTTTTGTTTTAGGCAAGAAATATACTAGGTATGAACAATAGATAAAAATAAGACTGTATCGTCTTCTAGTTTAATTTGTTATAAAATTGTAAGATTTTTTTTATGATTAAATGTTTCATAAATCTTCCTCAACACTTTTTTAATTCAACCCAATTCTCGATGTAAAAGAAATTGATTTATTTATCACATTATATAATTTATATAATTCATATTACAACAAACTTATTTAAAAAAAAATATATATATTGCAAAAATACTTCATAATTAATTTTTTTTTATAAATTAATGTATTACTATAAAAAAAATAATAAAAGCCCACTAAAATATAAATCATATTTTACACTTAACCTAAAAATCTTAATTTTATTTAAAATACGGTTCCATCAAATAACTTTTTACCGTTTCAGGCAATTGCAAATTATTAATATCATTAATATTAATATGTTCTCTAATAACGAATCTGCACATATGTTTAAGCGAAGAGATCTTTGTGAAACGAGATAAAGGACTGAGCAAACGGACGGGGTAAGATGGATTTAACGCACTTTTCGACTGTGTAAAACAATAAACGCCATTCTTTGAGAGTTGCATCACCGCCTCCAACATTAAATTAATCGTCGAGTAACCCTCCTGTCTAAAAATTTTGAAATAACCATTATCAAAATCGATGCGAGTGTGTAAAGTTCGTCCCCAGCTTCGAAATGATAAACTATAAACATGTCGGGCAGAGCAGGAATCTCTTATAATAAACGTTCCATCCGGTTTATTTCTTAATTCTTGTTCAGCTTCTCGACTTGATATAGGGCCCCAATAAAATTTACATTTGTGGAGTTTTTTATAGGCTTCTGATTGTTTATCTAAGACAACCTAATTAAATTTAAAAAAAAATTAATTAAACACATATAATTAATAAAACATATTTACATCATCGTTAATATCTTCAACATTACTCTCAATTTCTCCATTTTCAACCGAATCAACCTGTTCAGGAACTGAAGGTGTATTCACGTTATTTCCTAAATTCCTTGTTACGCGATGATGATTTTGTTCTTTAACTTTGTGCTTCCAAAACGTTAATTTACCACGCTTTAATTTCTCCTTAAAATTTTTCAACACCCTTCCAAATCGATTTTGTTGCACCTTATCACTATCTTCCTCGTAATTACTACTTAATTCGCTGGGGTGATGATATTTGGATTTAATTCCCACATTCTCAACGACACAATAAATCTGTTTGGTGTGTTGGTTGGGATCTTTTTGATTTTCATATTCCCCATCCATTTTATTAACGATTTCCGAGTTTATTTTATACAAAATAATGTTATTTATAAAAACTCATCGTTTTTGTTGTTTATGCTAACTCCCTAAATAATGACGTTAATGTCAAATTTTTGACAGATGTCAATTTATGAGTCGGTAAAGATGATATCGTTAAGTTTTATTTATTTATTTTAATATTTTAGCTTTGTATATATCTATAAACAAGAATTTTAATATGTTTTGGATTGTTAAAACAATTTATTTTAAATTATTTAATTTCATAATTAAAATTATAAATAATTTTTTTATTTTTTGATAATGACAATGTCAAACTTTTAACTTCATAATTGTCAATGTCAGAGTTAGTAAAATGCATTCACCTTTGTTGTAAAACTTAATTATTTATTATTATGTACAGTTTATCTTTTATGATAGGATATCGCAAAACTAACTTCTCTACAACAAACAGATATCTATAATAAGGTTATAATTATCTCATGGTGCGATAACATAGTGACTAAGTATAAAGTACAAACACAGGGGAAGTACAGATGTCGTTACATTCGTATAGAAATAACTGTTGTGACACGTTTCGTTATTATTCAGTGGTGAAATTTTGATTATTTCAATTGAGAAAAGGTTCCCGACTCTTCATTATGGATGGAGATTGGAGGAATCGTAATATTCGTGGTAAATAACATCTTTTTTTTTCTTACAAACCTTCCACGCCTATTTCCTTTTCAATTTTAAGGTTAGAATATGATTTAAAAGTATCATTTTTAATTTATAGCAAAAGGAATGGGTGATGTTAGAAATCGTGTTGGACCATGTCGCGGTGTTAATCAGGGCTTAAATGTAAACGCCCAGGGACCTAATATTTTAAGAGCTCCAAATGCGGGCCCCTCTCATCATGGTATGTATTTGATATAAACTTTTTATACAACGAACTTAGAAAATATAGATAAGATAGTTATTAACAAAAATGAGAATGAAATTTTTTCAATTAAAATTGGATAATTTTAATTACATTGTTCAACGTGATTTTTGTCCCTCGATTTGATATCATTAATAACGGTCAGTTTATTAAGAAATTGAAATCAAAATAAAACAATTTTATTTAACAATTCTTTCTGTTGGATCATTTGGTTATTAACATTTAGGTGGTTGTAGTTTCTCATCTTATTAATTTAAAAGAAAAATTGCAAAAATCTCAACATCAAATGATTAATTATGTTTTGAAGTGGAAATTGTAGATTATTTCACGAAAAATGCCTATAAATTTGCAATAATAAAGTGAGTCATAATATGCTAAGAACTCACAGAATTAATCTTGGTAACATAACCTCAACCTTCATCTAACCTTGTTAAATTATCCAATTTTTTTCTCCAAGAAAGCTTTTTTTAGAGGAAATAAGAATCAATACAGCAACAACACAGGCTTTAAAACTTTTAGCTTTATCTTAAGAGGGATTGAAATAATTTTTTGATAATTTTATTCCAATAGGTATCACTTTTTTTTTAATTTTTCTTTTATTACTGCAATTTATCCCATACAACAACAATAAACAGTATGTTTAACAATATAAAAAAAATAGAAAGATAAACGTTCGCAAACAATGCAATGTTATCATGAGATATCCTTTAAGATCACTTTTGAAGGTATGCAACCACGCGATCAATGCTATACAGAATGTTCCCAAAGGCCATTTCCTTTAAACTTTTTTATTATGTCATGAAGCCCTAAAATTTTACAAATTTTAAAATTATTTTCACTCTTAGACATCGTTTTCTAGTTATTTGCAAGAAGATACAACCTCAATTATGAAATTGAGACTGTTTTAGAGAGCAAACTGGTATGCTTTTAACGTTGGGAGAGTGGTTAAGCATTGCAAATAACTGATGATACTGTTGATATCAACAGTTCGGACATTTCGGATTTATTAGATTTTTGCCACGACTTACAGGAACACCTGTATCCTGTATAGTATAAGAAATGAAAGATAGGTACATTCTTTATTCCAACATGGATAGTTCTGGTAGGTCCTTTTGCTTCAATCTTTTAATAGTTGCCTGGCGCAACAGATTTTTTGCAAGTCGGTTTGGATGAATTTGCAGCCTTTGCAGGTACTTGGCAATTCGCTGGGCAATTACTTCTTTTATACTAAGCATATTAAGGTCTTGATGTAATATGTAATTAGGTACGAACCCAGATGCGTTACATATTTGTTGAAGAACTTTAGGCTGAAATCGCTGCAGCTGTAAAACGTTTGATTCACTAGCAGTGCCCCATAATTGAACACCATATTTCCATACAGTTTTTAGTATGGCAGTATATATGTATAAGCAACTTATTGTCTAGGCTGAGTTCTGAGTTTCTAATCATAAACCAGTACATTTTCCTGTACAACAGTCCTAGTTGGAGCCGTTTGATCCAAATATGTTTTTTCCAGGTTAGGTGATGATCCAGGTAAATTCCCACTTCATTTTGAATAGGTAATTGAGCATTATTTAATGTAACAGTAGGAAAGATTCCCTTTTTTAGAGTGAATGTGATATGAGTGAACTTATTCGGATTTATTTTTACTCGCCACTGTTTAAGCCATTTTTCCAGCATCAATAAGTAATATTGTAGGTTTTGGAATGCCATTTCAGGAGATGTATGAGTAGTCATAACTACAGCGTCGTCCGCGTATGTAGCAATCATAGTGGTGTATGTCGTAGGCATGTCGGCTGTATATAGAAGATATAGGGAAGGCCCCAAAATACTATCTTGAGGAATTCCAGCATGTATCGGGGAATATGCGTTATTTCGTTTAACGAACAAGTATCTCTCTGTCAGATATGATTCCAATTTGGATATAAGACCGTCATTCCATACTCTGTTGAAAGCCTGTGACACGTCTAAAAAAGCTGCTGTACAATATTTTTTGACCTGCTGATCTCATTACTCTGTGCACTTGTTCTGTAGTACCATGCTGTTTTCTAAACCGTTCTTCTCCTGATCCTTATGCCTGATGGTGCCGGATAAATCTTCCCACTTCCTCTGGTTTCTTGCTAAATCCTTTATATCTGCTTGAGTCTTCCCTCTCTTCTTCCCAACTTCGGCTATTCTTTCCTCCCTTTTCTTCCTATGTCTTCCCCTCTTTTTCTTATCCTTATTCTTTGCTTCAAATACCTTTTTTACTATTGTGTTATGTTCCATTCTAATCATGTGTGCGTACCACTTTAGTTGCTCTATTTTGCTGATTATATCTCTTGATCTACTCCCAGTCTTATTTCCTCATTCCTTATCCTATCTCACTTCATCTTCCCCACTATTTTCCGTAAAAATTTCATTTCCATTGCTATTATCTTTCCTTCTTGTTTATCTTGGAGTGTCCATGATTCACTGGCATATGTTAATATTGAGACTGCCACCGAGTTGTACAATTTAAATTTTTTATCTATCTCCTTCTGTGTAATTGTTCTGTTTAGAGTATGATATACGTTGTCTTTTCCTTATTCTTGCATTTATGTCTAAATCTATCCTTCCATCTTGTGATATTATACTGCCCAAGTACTCATATGATGATACTTCTTCTATCTTTTGTTCCTTAATATATCTTTTTTTCGGATTAATTCTTATTTCCTTTTTATTTATTATCACGATTTTACATTTATTTACGTTCAATTCTAAACCCATCTTTTCAATTTCTTCTGTCCATATTTCAACCAACTTCCTTGCCTTTTTATGGTTCTCTGCTATCAGCACTATGTCGTCAGCATATAGTTCTAGGTCTTGTGTTAGTTCTAGTGATAGTGCTAGTGTAAAACTAGAACTAACACTATACCTAGAAAGTATCGGGTTTAACCATGCGTCTGAAGAAGCCCACCCGGAATTTACAACCCAACCTCTGCTCCATGCCCAACCCGACATTTGAGAAATTCGCACTGGTTTAAATGTTAATTAACCTAACTAAAAGTAGAATTTCTACACAAAATTCTGAAATAAATCAGTAAATTAGGTGGATCCGAATGTAACGTTTAAAGGGGGGCGCCCTACTCCCCTCTAAAAAGATATGTCGCATCTGGGTGACAAAGAATCGAGTGATGTAGCAACAATTTTTAAATCTGTAATGGAAGGGACACAGAAAGATATCACTCAACTGAAGAACAGTTTCAGTAAATAGTCTTCAGCCAGTAATCTCCAAACACTTAGTAGTGTTTTGGCAGCAGTATATAGTCTTCTGTAATCATTAAATAGTCTTTGCCAACAATATCTAACTTTCTCCAAACAATTAGTAGTTTTTCCAACAATATTTAGCATTCTGAAAGTAGTTAATAGTCTTTTGGAAACAGTATCTTGTTTTTCCAAGCAGGTAGTAGTTTCTCCCAGCAGTATTTAGTTTTCTCCAAGCAGGTCGTAATCTTTTCCAGTAGTATATAGCGCTTTGAAAGCAGTAAGTAGTCTTATGGAAGCAGTATCTCGTCTTTCCAATCAGTTTGTGGTTGTTTGTTAGCACTATCTAGTTTGTAATCTTTTCCAACATAGTGATATCTTATGCTAACTAGCGCTACCAACTACTGTCACTAGAACTAACAGACCTAGAACTAGAATCATTCGGGTTTAGCGGCCTTGAGAAACGTGCGGCTTGAGTTAACCGTGTCAAAAGCTGCTTTTAGGTCCAGGAATATTTGCCCGTCTCTATTTTGATTTCAATGATATTTCGGATTACATGTATGTTATCGTTCGTTTGTTTGCTTGCTCTGTATGCTGCTTGTTCATCTTCTAGTTTATTTTCCACTACTCTTCTTTACCTTTTTTTCATTATCTTGGTGTATAATTTGTAATTATTCTATTCTATTAATCTGTGACGTTTAATTTGACATCTGTCAAAATCAAAATAATTTTTTAGTTTGCGTCAAATCTTGGAAAAATTTATCTCTTCTGACAACAATAAGAGTAATCTATGCACGTTAGTTAACGGAGATCCAAAAACTGCGTGTAGTGGTGATTCTGGGGGTCCTTTAGTGCAAAATAACACTTTAATAGGAATTGTTTCTTTCGGTATTAATAATTGTGCAACTCGCCCTCTGTTTACACGAAAGTCAGCAAATTTGTTGATTTGATATCCGAACAACTTGAAAAGTGATTTAAATTAATATTAACTCAAAAAACACCATATATATCAAACAAACCTAAAACAAATTAAGTTAACCTCAAAAAAAAATTAATCTAATTAAATTAAATTAGATGCAAATTCTGTTGATAAATGCTGTTTTAAATATTTTAAAATCATCCAAAATATGTTTTAATGATAAATCTTTAAATTAATTTTTTAATTAATTAATTTAAATAATTAAAACGTTTAATAACGAAAACTATATTACCGACCTTAATATTAACACGTCAAAGCTGTCAATTTTGACTGTCAAGCAAAAACTTGAAGTGATTTAAACAAAAATGATAAAATATGAAATGAATAGAAATAAAGTTATAGATTAGAGTGCCGAGCAAGTGAGTACATAAAGACTTTTACATAAAAATCTTGTAATAATTTTGAATTGTTATATTGTAATAAGTATAATTTCATAATCATGCACCTTCTTTGTCGTTTCGTGGCTTGTGCCGTGTAGGACTTTTACATTTTTGATATCAGGGATTTTACAATTTCCATATTTTGAAAAATTATCATGGCGCCCCATAGTGTTGTGCGCCCTGGGACAGTCGCTCCTCTTGTAGTTACGCCTCTTATTTCTATTCATCACTCCCTGATCCCCATATTCTCCTATACTACCTCCCCCCTTGTGTATATCATTACCTATTCTCGCACTCCAGTCTCCCATTATAATTACTTCCTCTGCAGACTTAAATAATGATGCGTTTATCCATATTCTTGCCGTTTTCATCCTCTTCTTACTACACTTAGTTTTTTTGAATTTATAGGGCTTTTGTTCTTTTTCCACATCGTCTGGTGATCTTTCCGAAACTATAGGTTTATTCTTCCTGCCAGCTTCTTCATCCACTATCTTCCCCTCGTTGTTTGCTTCATCCTTTACAATTATTTTGTTGTATTGTAAATGAGCTTTAACTTCTTTCCTCTTGAGTTCCCTTAGATCAGTCATCAAATCATATCTCTCTCTCTGAATTTTCTTAGATAATTTTCTTCCTCATCTATGCATATGTTCGTTCTTTTCAACTTTTTAGCTTTTTTTAGGATATCCATCCTTCTGCCTTCCTTTGTTAGTTTTACTATCTAATATTGTTGTTCTCTTTATATGCTCCTATTCTACTTGTGATATCAATATCATTACTTGTTAAATTTACTCTGATATTCCTCATCAAGTTAATCACCTCATTCTCTGTCTTTTCGAAAGTTTCAAATCTCTCGTTTTTACTTCCCTACATTACAACATTTTTACGTTTTACTTCCCTTTCCAGCATATCTATATGTTTCTCCTGTTCCACAATCTTCCCCTTAAGTTCCTCATTTCCCTTTTGTATCCATTCATCTCCCTTCTGATCAGCTGTTCCTTTATGTGAACATATTTATTTATTAATACGCTTATTTTGATTTTTATATTTATGATTAACACATTGATTTTTAGCTTTCAGATTTCCCCAACAAACCGAAAAGGATCCATTTGATTCTGATGATGATGAGCCTCCAACATCCCACCGTTCATCTAGACCTTCTACATCGAGACCAACCACGCCTAGTGCTTCGATTCATCATTTATCCTCTTTATTACATCGAACTAATTTAAATAGTTCTAGAGGATATGTTTCCCAAAATTCTTCCACGTCAAGTTTACCTTCGTTGTTTTCGGATCGTATCCAACCAAACATTAGAGGAACAAATTCGCAACATCCAAATCAAAGAGAAAATCGTTTTGGTCAACAAAGTGTTGGATCCAATAGAGAAAATGGTCATAATTTCCCGTTTGGTGGTAGACAGAGAAATTCACATCATTTGAATAAAGGAGGAAATCATGGTCGTGGGGGTAAACAAAATACTAGAATGGGTAGAGAAGATTTGAATGCGTCCTCTTCAAGTATACCCTCGTTATTTAATGATGATCAAAATTTGCCATCTGGTAATAGGGGTAAAAGAGGTCCAAGAGGACGTTATGATAGAAGAAATGATGGAGGTGATGGTCAAAGGCGTGAAAATGAAAATTCAGAGGGGAAAAGGCCGTTTAAAAGGAAATTTCCTCTTGGATTTAAGAAATTAGAGGAAGTTTTAGCCGGAGAAATCCCCGAAAACGTTTTAACGTTTTTAAACGAAAACTTTGATGGTTTATTATTATTATTACAAGAGCCAGATTTAAGTCCTGATTATATAAGCTTAATTTTACGGTCGGTTGTAAAAATAGCGGAGAGTTATTTCGAACCACTTAAAGTGAAGATACTTCATGAAGTCATTGAAGATAATTTCATAAAACAACTTATAAATTTTCTCACACAGCTTCATTTAGCCGAAGAAAGAGATAAGAGGCGCGCGAAGTATTTTTGGTCAAATCCCAACGAATTTTTTTCGCATTTAAATATATTTTGCGAAACCGTTATTAAAATGATTCCGTCTGAAGGTAAAGCTGTCCTTCCAAAACTTATAAAAGCTGCTATCTTCGTAATACCATACTTGAATTTAAGCGCTGACATTTTGGAACAATATGAAGAGTTACAAATTTTTGTACTTAATGAAATTGAGAAATTTCACAAGAAACACGAAAAGCTAATAGTTAAAAAAGATCAAAATGATCCTGAACCCCCGGAAGATTTTCGTGAGATCCCCGTTTATCCAGAAGCCATTGAAATCACAACTCCTTTGAAACCGTTTTTACGCAAAAATATTGTTGAGGGTGGTTATAAAAGTGTTGAACATTATTTGGATGTCCAATTTCGTTTGGTGAGAAACGATTTTGTTAAACCTTTAAGAGATGGTATTTTGGCATATTTAGATCCTGAAAATACTAAAAGGCCTCAGAACATTAAAGTTTATAATGGGGTAAAAATTTTTTTAATTTCATTAATAAAAAAATAATTTATTCTTTTTTTAAGGTAAAATTTTTAAAATCGGAAATATGTGCTAATTCAGCTGATAGCTATTTAATTCAGTTACCTCAACCGAAGAAAGTTCAATTAAAACTGGAGAATTCAAGGTTATTTATGTTTGGTTCGTTGGTTTGTTTTACCAAAGATTATTTTAAAACCCTCATATTCGGTCGAATCGCCGATAGGAAAATAGAATTATTAAAAGCTAGTCAATTGGTTGTTTCGCTTCATTTCAACACTGAATTGGTCGATTTTGAGGGAGAATATCTTATGATCGAAAGTAAAGTTTATTTTGAACCTTATTATCACGTGCTTACCGCTTTACAACAACTGGACGAAGATGATTTTCCAATGAAAGAATACATTGTTGATACGAAGGTAGATGATGGAGTTCCTGAGTATTATTTGGAGAATACAATTCAAACTCCTGGAAAATACAAGTAATTAATTTAATTTAAGGGTCTTCAGGAATTCCGGTCTAGAATGTTTAAGGCTAACACATATTGCAACCCCTTGTCCGTGATTTTATATTCATGTTGAGTTAAGCAGAGGTCGCTTGCGGCTGAGGCACTACAAATGTTAATACAAACATTGGAGAACATATACAGGTGAGTTTTTTTTCATGTTTAGTATGGAGATCTCGAATACTGGCGGAGATAGAGAGACGATTAAATAGGGAAAGAATTGCAGTTTTATAAACTCAATTTAATGAGCTTTCTGTTTTTTGGATGAAATGCATGGCTTGAAATCTCGAAAAAACCGTTTTTTTGTTATTGCGTTCGATACCTATGGCTCTGTTATTATTGATTTCATTAAAAATTTGTAGGGTATTAGGGTAGAGAAACCAGGTATGGCCACATTTAGTACTCTTCACTTTTAAAATTCGGTATTTTAGTTAAAAATTGGAATACATGCGAGAAAAAAATCAAAATAGTGTATCTTAAGCTCTTGTTGCATATAGGCACCTTCCATTTTATTTGCGTATCAAGTATTTTAAAACACAAAAAATAATTTTCAAAAGGAAATCAATTTCTATAAATAAAAAATTCAATAGCTAATATAAATTCAATAAAAAGCAATACTTTTTCTCCGGTTTCGGCTTACGCCATCATCAGAGACACTATAATGAGAATAAATAAAAATCCAGTTCAATCTTTTCATTCTAAAGTTAAAAAAGAACTTAAATCAGCAAAAGAATTTTTCGAACAAATAGGGTTTAATAATACAAATTACTTATTGCCTATGAACCCAAAAATTCCGAACTTATATTCATTGATAATCATCTACATCAGTGTTTCCCAAAGTCTTTTGGCCCACGGACCCCTTTTCTTAGTCAAACCTTGCCGACGGACCCCCAGGGTGAAAAACTACATTAAATACATAATAGAAAAATGAAGAATTTAACTTTGTTGTCTTAATGGTAAATGGTGACGTAAAAATAAAATATAAAGTAAACATTTTGTTGAAGAAGTATTTATTGATTATAACTTTTGTACTAAAAGACAATAAAATATTAATGGCTTGTATGAACCTGATGGGATGTTATGAGTTTATTTATGTTCGGCTCCATGTTTGTCAGTAGCAACCGCAAATCCCCCNTATTTCGTATTGTTACTTAAAATAAGCGAAAATTCAGTAGTCGGCTATGAAATTGTACGTCAAACTTGACAAATAGGTTATAAAATTATTTGACAACAAGGTTTTATAACCTATTTGTCAAGTTTGACGTACAATTTCACAGCCGACTACTAAATTTTCGATGATTTTAAGTAGCATTAACGAAATACGTGTCTTTAGTTATTTGAATTTTTTATGAAAACGACAAAGTTTTTTAAAAAATAATAAGAGTACAAAAAGTTTTAGAATTAAATTCCACATGAAATGACGTAATGATGTATTAAATCCACCAAAAGGTTAAAAAAATCTGTCAACATTTAGGGGACCATCACCCATAATCAACCCTTTGAAATGCCTCAATTGATCTCAATTTGCTACCAATTAATACCCTTGGTACACTTATAACGTATACCAAATTTGGTTTTTCTAGCTTAATGTATTACGAAGATATTGAACTTTTTAAAAATTTAATTTAATTCTTATGTGAATCACCCTGTATAAGCTATCAAGATTTTTAGTTCAATTTTTAAAACTTCAATTGAATTCAAACCAGAATTCAGTTATTAATCGACAACATCTCATTAATGACATCAAAATTATACAACTACCGAAACAATTCACCCTCGCTTCTTTTGACGTCACTAATCTTTACACAAATATACCTGTTAATGAGACCCTTCAATTGATTAAAAATATGCTGGCCAATTCTCTAAATTCTAATAATGCAAACCATATATATAACCTCTTAAAATTAATAAATAAAATATATAAAATATAAATTATACAATTATAACAAAGGTTTACCAATGGGATCACCCTTAAGCGGCCTCCTCGCCGATATTTTCTTGAATCATTTAAAACAAAATAGAATAATGAATACACAAAATAATTATAACGAAAACATTGTACTTTGGAGACGCTACGTCGATGACATTTTTATCATATGGGAGAGAAACAATACACAAGAAATTCATGATCGACACATACTAATCAACAACCTACACAGTAATATTAGATTTACCTTAGAATTAGAAAGAAATGACAGCTTAAATTTCCTAGATATTACTTTCATTAAAAATAATAATTCAATAGATTTTAACATATTTCGCAAACCAACACAAACAGACTGTTATTCCTTTTGACTATCACCATTCACACAAAGCAGCAGCTTTTAGATCATATATTCAAAGATGTCTCAAAACACCTCTACAGACAATCCATAGACAGAAAGAGATGGAGATAATTGAAACAATAGCTCACAACAATAATTTTCCCATAAATTATATAGACAAAATTATCCAGAAACACAAAAGACAAGTTCACACACAAACGTTGTTACCCATTTCAGATAAAGAAAAAACATCTTACAGATCAATACAATATCCAGGACACATAGCCAACAAAATAAAAGCCACCTTGAATAAATATAATATTCAAATTTCATTTAAAAATAATTTAACTTTAAAAAACTTGCTATTTAATGCCAAAAATAAGACTGAAATGATGGATCAGAGTGGAGTGTACAAATTGGAATGTGACACTTGTAAATCTACCTATATAGGTGAAACGGGTCGCTCCTCATCCAACAAAGATTAAGAGAAAATATACAAAATTCAAATTTCGGTAGACACCTAATGAATAATAATCATAATTTTGATAAACAAAAGAATGTTTCTCTACTACACAAAGAAAACAAAGGATTTAAACTTAATTTACTAGAAACCTATGAAATTGAAAAATTTAAACAAAAAAAACAATCATATAAATTGCCTTAACGATCAAGTTCATATGAATAAAAGTCCTTTATCTACGACTGCTTGGATAAGTCATCATTACCGCACTCATTTAAGGTTTTTCACTTAAGAGTTACGTAATGAAGTTCATTACCGCACTGGTTTCATTACGTAACGCATTTACGCACGTACTGTTCTGCAGCTTGTACTGCATTTTTATAGTATAAAATGTATATCACGCTTTTTTTGATTAGAAAAATGGATTCAATTAGAAAATTGATTATCATTTACAAAACCTCAATCAACGTTAATTAGAAACTAAACGAAACATACGTACACCTTCTACAAATATTTCCTTAACACATTTTTCCTAAAATCAATAATAACGGGGCCATAGGTATCGAACGATATAACAAGAAAAAAACGGTTTTTTCGAGATATCTAGTTAGCCATGCTCTTTATCTCCATAGTTTTCGAGATCTCCATACTAAACATGGAAAAAAACTCACCTGTATAGTAGCGGTCGCAAGGAACCTCGGTTTACTTCACTATGAAAATGGTCGCTTAAGTCGAGGTCGCTTGTGGCCGAGTCGTTAGAGTTGTTATCATATTGGTAGAATGGGCATTACACATTGCAATGCCTCGGCTTAAATAAGCGAAATCATAAATTTTTCATATAAAATTAAACCGAGGCACTACGAATGTTACCATGTTAATTCAATTATTGGACAGCATATATAATAGCGCCTCGGCCCCAAGAGCCCTCGGCTTACTTTACTATGAAAACTTACTATTTTTTAACTTTCGTTTAAAATGCCGATGTTTTTAGATCGATTGCTGATATGTGTGGGAACGGTCGGTTATCTGCTAAAGTAAGATAGCTAGCAAAAATCTTAAGATACAAAAGTTTTAGTGTTTTTTAAAATCTATTACAAACAATAAAGACAAATTAAGTATACAGGATCGGTCAAAAAGTTATGACAAAACCAAGTTGTGTTTTCTTTAACGGAACATCCTGTATACTATTCCATATTTCGGTTCATCTCGAAATTCTAAGCAAAATTCATGTAGCACATCGTAAACCTAAACTTAACCGTTTTCGAGATATTGAACTTACACAAAAATATTTTTGTCGATTATGTTCATAATTCATCAAGGTATCTTTGAAATTCGTAAATTTTTAAAAGCTCGGATATCGGAAAACGGTTAAGTTAAGGTCTATGATATGTTACATGAATTTTGTTTAGAATTTCGTGATGAACTAAAATATGGAATAATATACAGGTGTTCCATTAAAGAAAACGTAATTTTGTTTCGTCATAACTTTTTGATTGACCCTGTATACTTTAAAATTTATTGCTATAAAGACAAATTAGTCTTTATTGTAATAAATTTTAAAAACACTAAAACTTTTGTATCATTATTATCAGCAATCCTGTACAGGGTGTCCTAATTTCGATGTCCGCATAGGCTATCTCCGAAACTAAAAGAGATAGAAAAAAAGTAGCTTACATGTCATGATCTCGTTTTTCGAGAAAATGCTAATGCCGAAAACTCCGAACAGCTATCGTCTTTTGTTTTCGCCCTATCGNTTTTAGATCGATTGCTGATATGTGTGGGAACGGTCGGTTATCTGCTAAAGTAAGATAGCTAGCAAAAATCTTAAGATACAAAAGTTTTAGTGTTTTTTTAAATCTATTACAAACAATAAAGACAAATTAAGTATACATTGTCGGTCAAAAAGTTATGACAAAAACAAAGTTGTGTTTTCTTTAACGGAACACCCTGTATACTATTCCATATTTCGGTTCATTTCGAAATTCTAAGCAAAATTCATGTAGCACATCGTAAACCTAAACTTAACCGTTTTCGAGATATTGAACTTTGAAAATCACTTTTATAAATTACACAAAAATATTTTTGTCGCTTATGTTCATAATTCATCAAGGTATCTTTGAAAGTTTCTCATCTCCATAGCCGAGTGACATAACACATGTCAAAAATAGTTTAAATAATCTGTGACGTAATTTATCTTTGGGCGCAAACCAAAGATAAATTACGTCACTAATTAGATAAATTCGTAAATTTTTAAAAGCTCGATATCTGGAAAACGGTTAAGTTAAGGTCTATGATATGTTACATGAATATTGTTTAGAATTTCGTGATGAACTAAAATATGGAATAATATACAGGTGTTCCATTAAAGAAAAGGTAATTTTGTTTCGTCATAACTTTTTGACTGACCCTGTATACTTTAAAATTTATTGCAATAAAGACAAATTAGTCTTTATTGTAATAAATTTTAAAAAACACTAAAACTTTTGTATCATTATTATCAGCGATCCTGTACAGGTGTCCAAATTTCGATGGGTTTGCAGGGTATCTCAGTTATTATAAAAGATAGAAAGTTGCAGCTTTCGCGAACCTGAGCTACTTTTTTGTGAAACTTACAATGGCGCAAATCAAATTTTCATAGCCCTCTTCGTTTTTGATATACAGGGAGTGTTTCAAAATTTACGATTTTCAGACACCTCCTGTATCTCGGCTATCCGGAAACTTAGTAAAAAAGTAAAAACGAGTTCTGATAGATTTTTTCACGTGGAACCCAATGGTGCACGTAGAATTTTTCTAGTCATCACGGTTTTGAGTTATA